ATCTATCTATCTATCTATCTATCTATCTATCTATCTATCTATCTATCCTTCAGCCATCAGCTGGTGTAATGTGGCAGAGCAGCCACTAGATGTCACTGCTAATGGCTACAAACAAGGAGTCACTAAGAAGGCCCTGGGCACGCCAAAAGCCAGGTACTTTTTTAGGTTTAAAGACATTTCAGTGGATGGATTTTAGACTCTGAAGCCATTTCAGATCCATATTTTGCCTGTTAATGTGTTTCCAGGTCTCTGCTATGTAAAGTGGAGCTCTTCCATTCCTTCCTGTCTCTCGTTTCGGCCACAGATGCTTCGTCTCTGCCCGACACTCTCAGGTAACACGACCCCGCTGGGGTTTGAGGCCATCTCAATAAATCAGAGCGTCCTGGATAATCACAAAGAGTGAGGGAAGCTCATCCCATGTGACAGTAGTAAGAAAAGAAAAAGTTCAGCAAGCATTCAAAAAGCAGGTTTGAGGTTTATTTTCCATATTAACCTCAAGTTGTGGGTCACCTCCTTGTTGTTTAATACACAGCTCTTGAGGCCCAGAGGCTTGTTCAATGCTGTATACACCTTTTTATCATGACCACCTGAGCTCAGTGATAAAAGCTGCTTTTTAATAATTCAGAGCATCAACACAACAGACCACCTTATAAAAAAAAGTGGCTTTTAATTTGGAACGTGTGCAGAACAAAGGTAAAAAAGATCCCAAGCTAAAGAATACTTATTACAGGGTTTAATTTCACAAAGAGAGATTTATTTTGTCAATAATTAATTAAAACTGTTATTTTATGAGTTATACATTTAGTCAATGTTCATATCACCATTTATTGCTTATTGTTTTCAGTAACTGAGTAACGTAACAGTTCTCACCCTATTCGAGCTGCCTCTTGTGAGTTTGAAGTAATCATTGATGATTTGTTCATAACAAAGAGATATTAGGATTAATATTTAATTAATTTAAACATTAAAAAATGACGCGGTTGTTCTCAAATACATTTTTCAACAAGTACAAACTAGCTTGCTTTTGTTCTCAAAGGAATAAAAAACAGTGCTAATCCTTAGTCCTCTTATTTCACCTGATAGCCAGCTTTTGTGCACCTGAGATTTCCCCCACTAGCATCGTTGTGAGCGAGTATTTGTGTTACCCAGAGCTGAGTCACGCTCTCCTTTTGAAGACAAAAGATAGATTAAAAAGGTAAAAAGAAATGCGGATAGTTTTTCATATCCACAATAATATGGAAACACTTTGACTTTTTTTTACTGCTGACATGAAGTCTTCTTAATACACATTTTTGTGCACTCGAATAAAACAGGCCGGGTTCTAAGCCCCTCAGGAAACGGATTAAAATCAATGAATTGTCCTCGGCCGAAACACAGCTCCCTGTGTGTGCTGATGGCTGAGAATCCTCCCACAAAGAGGGAACAGAGGTCCTTTTCTTCATCTGCTTGAACCTGATCCGGCCCAGACTTTGCACAGCAAATGCACTAACACACACCTAAATACCAGCACACAACAGCACAAATAAGGAACCAGGATGTGGCCTTTATGTGCTGCTCCGTCCACAATGTTCACCTTATCTGCTCACAGATAAAAAGATTATGAGATTAGTGAAAGTTAATGACGGACGAGTCGTCGATAATCCACTTCGTCAAGAAGGTAAACATTGAATTACATACGGTACACACACAAAAAAGCGAGACAAGAAGGGAGGAATTAAACATATCGTGTGTCCAAACAACATTTCAAAGCAATGACTGACATGAAATACAGGACTTCTTTTTTTCCCCCTGTTCAGTATGAGGAAAGTCTGTTTTACTTTAAGGTGCTCAGACAAGATGAAACTTAACGAGAAATGAAGCATCCCTTGTGTTGCTGTCACCATCCGGTGGAGAAAAAGGCAGAAAAATCCCTCCAGACAACACACTGTTTTATGCAGAGGCCCAGATTAAAGGAGATCCCAAAATAATAGAAGAAGTCACTTTGTGTTAAGAGGCGAGAATTTGGATGGCTTCGTATTTTTACCCAAAGAGGGGGATTCTGTGCTAGTGCCACTCAAATACAAGCAAGTGAACATTTTAAACAGCCTCAACACATACTTTGTTTTAATCAGAGTTACATTAATCATTTCATTTTCTCACTTGTGGAATAAAAACACACTAAAACTCTCTGGATATTGTCATGAGAGACAAAGAAAATATCAAAAGCCATCACTGCTTAAACTTTAAATAAGGCTATACTTTGGCTGTAGTGGAATCCTCTTATATTTGTTCCATTTACAGACAGTTGTTTTTTATTCTTATGACCCCTCCCCACGTCTGCTCAGGCCGGCGGAGCTGCACACCTACTGGGACTACAAGCAGGCGTCCCAGTCCTACCAGCAGGCCTGGCAGCAGCTGCGCCGCCAGGCCTTCCCGCTGTGGCCGCGGGGGGCCAGAGACCTCCTGCTCTTCCGCTGAAAGCCGAGCCGGCAGCAGGAATGTCCCCCCACGGACCTGGCTCTAGCCCCCCCCGCTCCCCGAACGGGGCCGTCAAAAACCTGCTTTTTCAAGCCGGAGTCGGCCGACTGCCGCTCGATAACGGCCCCCCCGACTCAGAGCTTGTTGGGTCAGCTGCTCCGGGCTCAGGACAAGGACACGACCGCTCGCTTAGCGGGGCACACCCCCCCCCCCCCCCCCCCCGGTCACAGAGGCCGATGACCTCGTGGTCCCGGTGCAGCTGCCTGGTTGCTCTCGGCCCCTGGGAAACACAGCTGGCTCCAAGTTTGGATCCTCCATCCTGGATCAGATCCTCGGCCCTGCTGGAATACTACGGTCCTCTGGAACTGAGACCGGTTTCTAACCCTTAAAGATCGATTAATTCCACGTCAGCAGACAAAACCACCTGGATTTCCTCCTGTTTTTCTTATCAAACTAACTGTCTTAAGTTTTTTTCATTACGGTCACATCTGACAGATATTTACTTTGAGAAAAATAATGGACGAAACTTCTTCTTTTTTTAGCACCAAATGACAACTTTAAGTATTTATGTCTTTGTTTTGGCTTACTCAGCCCGGCTCACTAAAGTGTAAAAAAATGTCAGGAAACGATCACTATCAGTGTATCCACATGTTTTTTTCCCTCAGGCTGTAAACTGGGACTGAGTGGAAGCAGCATATTTCTGGAAGCGGAGGTTCAGTGGTCTCTGCCGTCACTCAGCAGATTCCTCCTGGCTAAGAGAGGAACAGAGGGGCCGTTTACCAACAGGACGAACACTCAACAGCAGGGTTTTTACTCTACTGGCTCTGGGGGGGTACCAGCTGAAGTGTTTTTATTCAGACCTTTGGCTGTAAGACCACAGGTCTGAGGTCGTCTTTCTGGAACAAAATGACTCACGAGAGATTAAAAACAAACCGTTATGTTTTGCTTATTTGTAGCTTGCTTTCCCTTTTATTTGTAATTTGGTTTTTATTGTGGCCTCGGTCACTTTGCTTCCTTCATTTGTTTGGCACGAATCATCAGATTGGACGACAATCATTTTTATGGGGTCAGTGCTAAATATTTAGTGCTTGTGCTTTTTCCTATTGTTTCTGTACCAGAAACTATCTTTCAATTCGAGAACTTGTCAGTTTATTTTCCCCCAAAAACAGGACTGTTTGAGAGATTAAACATTAATGAGTGCTTCTGTTCACATTATATAAAGTGATACCACACTGAATGGGTTTATTGATTCATTACTTTATGATTACCTTTGCATTTTTCATGATGATTAACCAGATCCCTCATTCAAAAGAGAAAAAAAGGAAACAGCTGATCAAGTTTTCACTTGGATCAAAACATCTAAATCACAATCTTGTCAATAGTCACATTATACTCTGACTTTTACCCTGAATTTAAATAAAAAGGAAAACAGAAACATGAAATAAATACTGCTTTATTCCTCCGCTCATCATTTTCTGCCAATAGAGAAAACAAAAACAAAACATGTCTAAGTGACAAATTGAAGAATCAGACTTTATTTGTTGAGCAGGTTTCATACAAGTCGAACACAACTGAACGAGCAGAACGCTTAGCAGTTACACAACATGGTGAACGAGGAGCTGGAGACTAATACGAGTCTAGATTAAAAGAATAGTAACAAAAATAAAACTCTAAGCACTCAAATAATAGACTTGAGAACAGGGTTGACTGCAACTCATAACATGACGTCGACTCCTTCCAAACTTAAAACAAACTGCGTCCCAGCAGAGAAGACTTTGACTGATGGCGGGAAGTAATGAGGCACAGCTTAAAAACGGCCCGGTGTGACGCCACACTTCACTCGGAGGTGCACAAGAAGGGCGCAAATAAATAAAACCATTAAAGCTTCTAATGGCCGAGGGAACCCATGAGCAATTAACGAGGACCCCCCCCCCCCCCCCCCCCAGCGGCGAACCAATCATCAGGCCGTCCTTCACTTTTCAGCAGCTCTCGACATTCCTGTTCAGCAAAAAGCCTCTTAGAGATTTGAAGAAACGTGTGCAAATACATGGCTGGGAGCTAATTAATGGCGGGAGCTAAAGGCTGGACCCCTGGGAGTCGGACTCAGCAAACACAGCACCACCTTTCCTTTCACACATTTTGTTTTACATCCTGTCTTTTAGCCGTCTACACGCGGAGGGTTTCACACATGATGGGGGGGGGCTCAAGCTGCACGTGGTCAGGTGGTCAGGGGGCTTCTTATTGGCTGATAGCTGAGGCTCGCTTGGCCTTCTGCTCGTGGTGTTTTCTCTTCGGTTCCAAATACTGAGGGCGGAAATGGTGTCTGCTGCTACTCGGGTGTTTGGGCAGTGTTTCACGTTTTCCTCTCCGCAAACCGAGCGTAAAAGAGCCGCAACGGCCGAGGCGCTTTGGGTCTGCGGCCAGCAGCCTGACGGGGAAGCTGCTGGCCGCAGAGCGACGCCCTCTCTGAATGTCGTCGTCGGTGTTAGTTTAAGGTTTCGGTATAAAAAAAAACGGACAGTGCAGAATGTGTGGAGGAACACGTGTGAAGGCCGATGTCTTCAGCTCTGTGCGCCAGTACAGAGTGTGTCTGTGTCTGTGTGTGTGTGTGTGTGTTTGTGTGTGTGTGTGACGGTGGTGGTGGGGGGGGGTCTCTAAGTATTAACCCTGTGCTGTATAAAAGGTGTCGTAACCAAAGGTGTTCTCTCCGCTGTAGGCCACGTACAGGAAGCCGTCCTCGTCCTTCTCCTTGTCGTACAGCTGGCCCATCGTCAGGCTGCAACACAGAGCGCAAACACCAGGCTCAGCAGAGCGATCGAACACGTTTCCGCTTTAGGCTTTGGGAGCACTGGGCCCATAGCGGCTGATGTTTTGAAGCAACTCGGCGCTTTATTGAGGATAATTATTCAGGAGCGTCGTCTGAGTGTCCTGAAATCCAGAATTAAAGTTATCCAACTCCATCCGACTCCAAACCCAAAGCGGCTCGGTCCAACGCAGGAACTACCTCCCCCTCTGACTCTGAGTTCAAGGAACTTAAATGGGGATTTAGTCAGATGATGTCATGGACAGTGATAAAAAAAAAAAGAAATGATGATTTTATCAGAGCAGAGCGACTCTATGAGCAGGTTAACATGAAGGACATCTTAGATCAACCAAAAATAATCCCATCCTGAATAAAAACCACATAAAAACTTGTCGGACGTAATGAGAGGAGCATTGAAGGCAGCTGAATCCTGCTGTTGGCCCACCTGAATAATATCTATGACTAAATTCACTTTTACAGGAGAGCCAAACGTAAATTTGCTTGTTTCTTTTGGTGAAAAAGCTCCAAAAATTCTGCCCATCCCTCTTAAAGAGGTGCTGGAAAGTGTCACCTTCACCCATTATGAGCAGGACTGAAAACTCCGGGAAGCGGGTCAGATGTCTCAGATAAACTGTGACGGTCATCACGCCAACAACAGCTGGAAAACGGGTCGCTCTGAGATCTGTGTAAAATGAGAGTGAAGGAGCGGCTTCGCCCTATTTCACAGAGAAACTGGATGCCGAACGACCAAAAAGACAGATCTAACTGATGGAGGCCACCTGGGGGGGTTTATTGTAGTTAGGGAACCCCCCCAGGGTACATCTATGGCCCCCCAGAAGGACGGATCAGAGCAACCTTTTGGTTTTTCCCCTAATTCTTTAGTTCCATCTACAGTATATTAACCTGACTACGTTTTTATTTTGGTTGTTTTGCTGCATCTTTTACTTATTTTTGGTTATTTAGCTACTAAATATCATTAACCCCCCCAGGTGGCCTTCATGGCCCCCCAGCAGGAGGGACCAGAGCCACCTTTTGGTTTCCCCCCAATCCTTTAGTCCCTTCGGCCTCCACAGCTGGCAGCCCCGGACACACATCTGGCCTCTGAGTTGACCCCCCCTCACCTGGACTGAGGGACGGTTTTGTCGACGAACAGGAAGATGGCTTTCTCTGAGGGCAGCTGGATCCGTTTCCTGATGATCCACATGAACTGGGCCACCGTGATGTCGGAGGGCACCAGGTACTTCCTCTTATCGATGTCCACTATCTGGGAGCCCGACACCTTCTCCACTATCACCTGGGGCACACAGATCAACAGCAGGTGGTCAAGAGCGGGTCACAATGCCAGCGTCCGCCAGCGGGCAGGTTCATAGCTTTCCTGTCTTTAGATTGAATTGTTATGATCAGATAATTGCTTCTTATTAAACAGAAGTTTCGGCTGCTGGTGTTACTCTAGCAGAATGTGTTTCCTCCATAGAGAGTTTCCTACAAACAACCTGTGGAGACGCAGTCAAGGAGGCAGGTTTCAAAACTGCTCCTATCTGCACAGACATCGAAACACAATCCGAACCCCTCCCTCGGGAGGCTCTCCAGGTGTGTTCGGCTCAAAAGAAAAGACAGTGTGACACCAGGGGGACTGAGAAAAGCCCTCAGGATCCCCCCGGATGAGCCGGAGGAAGAGACAGAGAACAATGAAGGAGGCCGACCACTCTGTGAAAAGCAAACCTGAATCAAGTACAGCAGAGCCTCTACTCCCGATCACCTAAACATACGGACTTTACAACATCCAAAGTGAAATTTGATCAAATATTCCACTCGCCACCTGAAGTAAATTTTCAACATATAACTTATGACTTCGAAGTCATCGAAGAAAATATATAAAATATAAAAATAAAATTGAAATAAATAAGCGGAGTTAGTTTAAAGTTCATGTAGTGGAAGTTAAGAGTAAGTTAGGGTACGTCCTGTATCTCAGTCTCCACCTCTACCTCCGTTCGCCAATAAGTGCCAGTAAAAAACCCTTTTTATTGATTATTTCGTTATACTTTATTTCTTTTTACATCTATTTTATAGAATGCGTTTGTTTTATTGCTATGTGTAATTATCTTCAGTATTCATTAAGGAGTTATTGTAGGTTTTTGGGCATTATAGGAATTACAGTGTATTCTTATGGGAATATTTGAACCAACATATGAATATTCTAACGCAGAAAGTAGGTCCTGGAACAAATTAAATTCGTATGTAGAGGTTCTACTGTACTGGAGTTATCCTCAGTGGGTGTAAAGCAGGAAATGGATCTGAAAGGCTTTGATGTGCTCTTCAATGACATGTGGATGTAAAATCTGAATTTAGTTTGTTTTTTTCTGTGAACAAGCAGACACGGTCGACACCTCCCTGACGATTTCTCTTCTTTAACTAACAGCCACTCTTCACCATCTCTGTTATCTCTTGACTTTCTGTCACTCCCTCCAGCTTTAGCACCCCTCCCCCGCCACTCACCGGTACTCTGTCAGGGTATTTGTTGCGGATTTTGGCTGACTCCACACATCGGTGCTCTGAGGGGAGAGACAGCGAACAAACAGGAAGTCAGAGATTAATGGGATGAGTTGGGCCTCCGGGGACTTCTGTCCCGCCTCAGAGCAAAGCCTCGTTCGATACAGGCCCGAGCAGAGCAGTCGATGATTTCCAAGCAAACACACACACTTTAACATCACCACAGTGCAAGTTCACTTATTTTAGGCAGGACCACATGCGGAGGCCGGGGAGGGGAGGGTTAGGGGAGGGGAGGGGAGGCTGAGGTGATAAGATGTGGTGGATCCTTTTAGGTGCACACTCATTAGCCCAGATAAGAGGCCTACTTTTGGACGCTTTAAAAAAGGAGCTTTTAGGTTATCTGACGACGGTGTGCTCACAAAGCTGAGTTGAGCGTGACCCCGACATGTTCCTGCCATCGCAGTCTGGAAGGGAATTGCACAAAACTCCTCTCAAAGCCCACGTGAAAGGATACTCCCAACCATTGCCAGGCCAAAAATAAAAAAAATGGAGGAAATGCTCTGCAATTTGGTTTCAGTGTTCAAAGTGCTGCACGACAAATGTCATATTTACACCCAGAGGTGCCCCACTGAACATCTGGACTCAACACATCAGCTAGTTGTGCTGTTTTCATCTGTATTGATCACTGACAAGTGGAATAGATGTAAGAATGACAAGCTTCATATTCTCAAACGAGGCCTCATAGATGGGATGTATGCAGGGGATGGGAAGCCACACATCAGGTTGAGCTGGCTCATTTGATGTCTATATGATGCTAAAGGTGAACCTAATTCTGTCATCTTGCGGGGAAACGCGTTAGCAGTAGGTGGCCATGCAACATTTGCCAATATCGATTGACAGCAGTCATGTGCAGGTTGCAACAACAACAGAAAACATGCACTACTGCGCCTACAAGGGTAGTCTAGCGAACACCGATGCGGGGAAAGCTAAACTGGACGGAAGATGCATGACACGGTCAGAACAGATCTCGTTTCATAACAGTCTAAACCCCTTTTTACCGAGGGAATGGTCCTCTTTAAACATCCATTTCATCTTTGCTGGATCCCCGCACTGAGGCGTGACGGCAGAGGCGAACGGGGAGCTTCTAAGTCTGCGGGGAATGTCGACGTAACCTCCACAAAATCCGGACAAACGCGATCAAAACAAAACGTCAACAATAAGTCTCTGCTTTTCAGCTGTCCGTCTGGCAGGGGTGACGTCACCGTCAGACAGAAGGGTGTTGGTAAAAACGCTGCGTTCAGGTGCTCCCGGATCAAAGTCGATTCATTTAGAAAATGCATTTGGTTAAATAAATAAAAAAGATATGGCAATACACTATTTCGTGCAAAAACATGGGTTTTGGTTTAGAAATGAAAGCATTTATCGGTAATAATCTATAGTAAGTTAATTAGGATTTCTGATATCTCAATACATAACTAAAACATGAAAATAAAATTAAAAAAACATCCAAGTTGAGACCGTTTAAAGAGGCTTAAAATCATAATCTGTCCCACATTGTAAAAAATGGTGCAAAACCATCTCAAAGTCATAACAAAATATGTCATTGACACACCTATAATCTGAAAATATACAATCAGTGCCCTGAATAGATGTAAAACATGCACAACGGTTTGCACCACGAAACGCAAATCAATCTCAGATATTCAGAAGTATAATGAGATACAGAACGCATGAAGATTATTATGAAAACCCTCAAATATATCATAGTCACTCGCAACACAAAATGACGAAAAACAATGTACCTTCAAGACTTTTCTTCATATACGAGTTTCTGTCAAATATGCCAACTCAAACAGAAGGTGCCTTACAAAAAAAAGTTACTATCAGAACGGTTAAACGACAAACTCAGGGCCAAACGGTTCCACTTCTTTGTTCACTGATTACATTTGAACGCAGCGTGAACGCTAACGTTGGCAGCCATGGTAACCGCGAGACGCTTAACATGGCGCGGTGCTTGCTACTTTAGTGGCTTCTGAAGCTAACGTCCATAGCATATTAATACCTTTTTATTTTGTCATAAGAACGCATCTGAATGTGTTCTAGTTCTTGGAGCTGGTAGATGGATATAACGTAACAAGGACTAGTATTCGATTTCCCTACATTTTTCTTGTCTGTGCAGATTAAAACACTTTAGTCCTACAGGTTAGCATCTCTGCTAACGTGCATTAAGCTAGCTTGGAGTTAGACACGCTCTTTTTTTGAGGACATTCATGGCTTTCTATGAAGCGTACTCCCATCCGGCTGTAATACGTTACAAAACCAGCGTGTGTACAAAGGCGACTTTGTTCCTGGTTGTTGTTTTGTGTCTCACCTACATCTCACCTCTGCTGGTCGCTTACAGAAGTCAAGGTAAAGCTTTGTTGTTGTGTCTTATCTTTAAACAAACTCCAGGGGTGAGCATTAACATTCAAATACAAGTTGTGACAAAGTGCAAAGTATGTTTATTGGTACATCAGTACGAGGGTTTAGACCTCAATAAACCCGAATTACAAACATGATTCCATTGATACACATCTTCTCTAACAATTCCTCCATGTCAACATTTAAACTTAATCCTTAGCACATTTCCATATTATTATTCAATGCATTATAATTAGTTAATTTATTTTTACAATGGTATACATATTTAATCACATTTAAGTATGTTATTTGTATTTTAGTTTGTAAGATTTAAGAAAAATATTAAAACAAAGCCAATATAAAAGCCTTTTTGTTTTTTGAAAAGTGGAAAGAATGATGCGTATAAATGTCTCAGCTTCTTGTTGATAATTTTTTTAAATTACTGGAAAGAAAAATCCCCTTTCTGCTTTGATGAATCAAGCAGTCACATAGTTGGTTAGAGCAAGGTGTAACTTATGATAGAATCAATGCTGTCTGAATACTTTGGGGAAGACTAAAAGGGAGAGTAGTGAAACAGAGCCTGAGATTTAGTAAGCAGCTTCAGTTTTTACACTGAGGTATGTTTATTCACTGTTATGATTTATTTTTATTCCAGGTTTCTGGATAAAACACAGCACTTATGAAGAACAGCCAGTTGTGAGGTTCCAGTACCAGACTCTGCTGGTGGCAGCGACCAGTACTGGAGGACACTATGTCGCCTGGAGCACCTTTTCCCATCTCAACAACATGCTCGGAGCTAACCTGCGGATCCCATCTGTGTCTGTGAGAACAGAAGACTTCCCTTAAATCAGTTTCACCTTTAACTGTCTTTATATGCCTGTTGGTTAGTCTTAGTTTTATGGATGGCACCACCCATCATAACTGCCCTCATTGCTTGTTAAGAAGTGTTTGGTCAGAGTCAGGATCTGAAATGCAAAACAAAAAAGGCTGCTTGTTGTCGTGCAATGGAGCCATGCATAAAACACTAAGGTTTTGCGCTCCGGATTTTGTACTGAAGGTAAAAATTGGACATGATGCATCACACATGTAAAATCTTTCACATTTTAGTGGGACGTTTTGTCATAAGGTTAATATTGACATAGTTTTTCACATCAAAAAGGAGTATCAAGTTGAGGTGGCAAACTATTTAATGGAAGTCTTTCTAGGATAAACATGCCTAAGGTTTTATTCTTCTGTGACCTGCAGGTGAGAGAGGAGGACCTGAACCAGGATGGGAAGCTGGACCGTTTGATCTTTCGGCTGCAGCTTCCTCTGAAAGCTGATGAGCAGGTTTACAGCGTTCAGCTGCTGCTCACCTTCAGCTACCAGCTCTTTGTACGTGCTCACTACCCCATGCACCCACACACGAGTCCCACCTCTACCTTCAGTCATAATCACCCTATTCCGTTCAAACACAATGCTGGTGTGCAAACTTGTGTGTCATTCGGATCAAAGATCGGCTTGAAGACGAGTTAAAGCAATTGAAAGACATGTTCTTTTTCCCTGCCAGCGGATGTCCACCGTAGTGATGCAGAGCCTGGCCTTTGTGCAGCACGCCTCTCCCGTCCCCGCCGCCAAGCTGCTCATCAGCGGCGACCTGAGGCTGCAGCAGAGGACGCCGCTGCCCCACCGGGGCCTGCACGACATTTACAACGTGAGAGGACGCACACTTGGCAGGCAGAAGAGAAGACATTTTTTAAAACAAGTGTGTTTTTTTATTGGGGGAGCTGATGATATATGAGGAAAGAAAAGATACAGCCACAGTTAACCTACAGTTACACATTAACTTAACTTACAGTAAAATTATATTTTCATGCTACTGGTTGTGTGAGCTGGAGTAGATTCTTTATTTTCCTCTCCATGTTTTAGTGTTGCGCTTGATGTTTTAAACTGTATTTTTCCACCAAACCTAAAAGAAAGAATTAGTGTAGGAGTATGTTGTTATAAACTTAATTTTTTTATTTGAATGCAAAAAATAAATCAACTCCCATTCGCTTTGAAAAATAAGAAATGTTAAAAGATTGTACAAAGTACTTCAAATGAATTCCCATAGAGGGAACAATAAAATAATAGATTTATGCAGTATTATTCATTATAAAAGATCAGTTAGTTCTGTCTTAGGGCAAATAAATACCAAGCCCATTTGTTTACATGACTAAAACTAAAAGATGTCCAGAGGACAGTTCAGTTTGTGCAGGTGATGCTTTGCTATTTCCCAGATCACCATAAAAATGAGCATAAAAAGCCATTTTCTTCAAATTTTTACGGGATATCATGGGAGGAGTACGACTGACGGAAAATTCCCGATTGCCATTGGTGGAAAAGGACTTTGGACTCCCATCAGTCCGTTTGACTTCCATGTGGTGGTTCACATGAAAATGAAGGCATTTCAAAAAAAGACATTTTCAAAGTTTTGAGTTTTCAATATTTTGCCTTACTAGAGTTATTTGCAGGAAGTTCAAAATGTCTGGTCTGAAATATCAAATATCTAAAATAGATAATATTTATAGGGGAAGAGCTGTTGGCAGTCTCTGTTCAGAGCTCTGTGGCTGTCGTGAAAAAGGACCTCCTGAACCCCTCAGTCCTGAAACTTTATCATTATCACCATTAAAATGTGTTCAGTGTAACAGCTTCACTTTGGCGATCATCAAACATAATTTCAGTGCTTTAAAAATAATTTAATTAATTTGCGGATTACTCATTCTCATTTCTGTGTCGATACTAAGGTGTCAGTGATCGATGAGTTCAGTCCTTTTGCGAGTACGTACGACCTCGAAAACATTATCAGGAGCTACCAGGAGAGAAACTGTAAGTGGGCGCTCAAACGTGTGTCTTTTTACTGTTGTGGTGGTGGATTTCAGCTTTCTTTGATGCCCCTTTAGTGACAACGGTGCTGTCCTGTCCCACACCGGTGTGGACCGTGGGACGAGCTGTGGGTTCCCCCTTTGAGCTTAATGCTGAAGTCCGTTACCCCCTGGAGGTCATCAGATATCCTTTGGAAACCTTTTTTTTTTTACAGTTGCTTAAATTCTTACTCACTGTTGAAATAGTGAACTGAGAAACAAAGATTTAGTTGCTACCGTATAACTAATCAATAATCAGCCATTTGATAATTATGCTCTGGTTTAGATGGCTGATACATCTGTGCATACCAAAACAAAAAAAACTAATTTAGTAAAGAAAAAAGTGGATTTCTGTGGATTATTATGGAAGTCTAATGGTTTTGGAGGATGAATATATGCGATTTTAAGATCATGAGACCTTAATCATCCTACCTGTAAGACATATTTAGAGTCTTTTGACTCTTGTCTTTCCGTGTTTGAGAGATAGCACATTTTAATTGTAAAGTCAACACCGATGAGGCTCAGCAAGTCTGTCAAACATTAACGTTTAATCATGGGGAGCACAGTTTATGAGCCAGGCTTCAAAGGGACTCTTGCTGTCACAATATGAGTTTCTATAGACACAGTCAGTTTTCTTGATTCATGGAACATTGGATCTTCTCTCTGAATTTCCACTTGTTTAGCTTGGTTTATGAGCTCTGCTTCGGGTGCTCCTCATGTGATTTCCTCCTTAACCGTCTCCCTCCACTTATCGTCCAGGTTTCTGGGAAACCATCAAGTTTGCCTGGATTCAGTACGTCAGCATCCTTCTCATCTTCCTCTGGGTCTTTGAACGCATCCAGAGATTTGTTTTTCAGAACCAGGTTCTAAGGACCGTGCCCATACCGGTGGGGAAGCCTCACCTGTCGTGACGCAGAGGAGCTCTAAACCAACCTGACACCTAACCTGCCTGTTTCTGGTGTTTGTCCATTAATGTCTTTTCCTTTGTCATATTTTCAAATTGTTACACACTGTAAAAACAGTAAAACAAGGATGTTTTTTTGTTTTTTTGACCTCATTCCACTTACATGAAAAACCTTCCTGTTCTGATTACTATCACTTTACAAACACATAGACACAGACTTAACTAGCTGATTTGAAGTTTCCCATTTACTTAAATGCCACCAGCAAAGATGAAAAGATTTGTCTATTCTTTCCTGCTTCTGATGGATTACTAGCTTTTGCTCTAATTTTGTACAAACCACGCAGAGATTCTGTATTTTCCACGATTTGTGTGTTTATAACGTGTGTGTGACTGGTTGTATCAATAATTAAACAGATTTTTGTATTGTACATAACTTTACTAGACAATAAATCTTTTCTACAATTTTGGGGTCCTTTTTAAATGCGAAAAAACACATTATTTTAGCATCTTCTAATCGTGTTTTGTCCTGATTAATGAAGCCAAAACACAGCAAGCTACCAGTGGAGACAGCTGAAGGTGTTTAAGACTTATAGATGAAGCAGGTTTGAACTGTGTGGATCTGTCCAGACATGAGAGGAGATGTGTTACCTACCTACCAGATGATAATCCAGAGACTAATTCAGGGTTACTTTACTTATTCAAATATTTAGTTGAACTGTTTTAGTGCTAGAATTATGGTTGAGCAGACAGGTTATCTGTGAGATTTTTATCAATCTAAAATAAACAGGACCAAGAGTATATGCTAAGGGAGAAACTAATTACAGGTGTGCAAGCGGATATTGAAAATCAGGGAGTAAACACGAGTACACATGGGAGTAAAAACTGACAAAGCAAAACAGAAAATGAGGTCATTAAGGAGCAAGACACAAGCACAGTACTAAAAGGAAATCCAGAATAGTAAAAACCCAGAAGACTCATGATGTTAACGTCTTCAGGGGGGATTTGGATTAGACCCCCCAGGCTGTCCTCAGAGGGGGCTGGAGCTGGTTGGTGGGCAGACAGAAGTCACTGCAAACCTTTTTACAGTAGCAAAAACTGGGAAAAATCACAGCACAACAAGTCTTACTGATTAATGGATCCACACTCAAAGGCGCCGGAGAAAAACTGGTTAACTTATGAGGAAACTTTACTCAGGGAACAGTCACAAAGTTGTCTGATTACCCAGCTGTGGACGCTAAACATCTGGAGGAGACTGCTAGGACTGCCAAACCCAGCCTACACATCGGGGCGGGGGGGGACAAAACAGAACAAAACAGTCAGACAACATGTGGTCATGACATTTTTCATGTGAAACAGAACTGTTAAAAAATCTGATGTGTTTTTGTACCACTGATATAGGAGAGTTTAGCTCAATTGCTTTTCGGTAATTTGATTTAATCAGACCGTTTTTGGAGGTGGATGAGCAGAGATGAGATGAGACTTATGAGCAAACCCGCCTGGTATCAGGAAGAGGTGCAGATGGGCAGGCTGCATGACAATCAGACAGGAGAGGAAATGACAGAGGAGAGATTCAAAGAGCAGGGATCAGACTTTCTGGCTCAGGCGGGCAAGAAAAAAGGAAGAAGAGAAGTGTCACACTGAGGAAACTTTCTGAGCATCTGTATTTTAAAGATGTATCCAGAGCGTTATCGCATGATAACTTCGTAGGGGGCTTCGTAGAGGTGATCGTGGCAGAAATACCGAGGACTTTTGAGGCCCTTCACAAAGCTAAAAGAACATATGGAAAGTACAGCCATTTTAGCAGCATGCCACATTTTAGGCTGACATTTAAAAACAGCCACACATTATTCCACTATGACTGAGAAACCTGGAAAACTGACACTGTGAATTATCTGCCAGTGCGAGCATGTAGTGAAGCACGGTGGTGGCAGCGGCATGCTGTGGGGATGGTTCTGCCCAGCAGAGGCTGGTCTGTGCAAGCGAAAGAAAAATCATGTCAGAGATACTCAGCCAAGTAGAGACGACTGACCAGAAAAACTCCTCCTGGATTCATCCTGGTTTGACCGTGGGAAGAAAAGGGAACATTTAAAGGGACGTTGTGTACTATTTTACGTATTTTATTAGCTAAAATCCTTGTCTTCATTTCTAAATGTGTCCTCATTAGGTGTAAAATGGCCTCTGCAACGATCTGACTTCTCCTCATAAGGAAGAATGTCCTATCTCTACATACACAGGACGGGTTTGTACGATTTGTTAGGATGCTGAATAAAATTTCACCGTTAGATGGAGGAATTCCTACACCGGGTACTTTTAATAGGAAGAAACGTCAATCAGAGCCAGAACCACAAGGGCCGTCGGCCTTGACTGGCTGGTGGTGTGTAGAGGACAAGAAAGAGAGGACAGCAAGCCCCGTGACACAAGCTCAGGGACACCCGACAGACACTGAAAATTCAATGACAACAACAATGTCGCGTGTACATGCCGAGAAGAGAGAGCAGAGGGAGGAGAGTTGCATCGTGGGATGTTTCAGGGTCACCTGAGGCTTAAGCTTTTCTGAGCTTTAATTGTTCCCATGAAACTCCCCGATAGCAGAAACAAAACGGTGAGACACAGTCACACCCTTTGAGCTCTGCTGCATTTTTACTTTCCGGCGGACTCTGAAAGTTTGATGTTGTTGTGTGAAAACCTTCGGGTTTCCTTTAAGAAAGTTGTTTTCTACTCTTCCTCCCACTGACTCACTGTCTCAGGAGACGTTTGGCATAATATGAATGCTAGTTTGTTGTTGGAGTTTATGTGTGTGTGTGTATCCATCTGGACCGGCACCACTGTGTTAGCTCATTTAAAGTACTGACTCCACCACTGGAGTTTGCGCCAGACGGTTACACAACAGTTACACCCACTGAGCCACAGCAGCTAAAGCTGTCCTCAGGCCACGCTTCAGTCCTTTCCAGTCACCCAAAGTGTCATTCTAACCGTGGCACGAATTCCCTCCTTCTCTCAACCCATTTCTCTCATTTAACTGTTTGTCTGAGATATCAACCAAAAAAAAAAAACTTTTGTCCTTTCTGTCCCAAAAAGTTAAGCCTCTGCTTATTTGAATAATGTTCATGAAATTTCCATCTGTTCATGATCAGCCATCGCAGATGCAGCCTCCCGATGCCGTTTAAAACTCATGCTTAGCAGAAATCTCAAAATTGAGAAGCTCAAAAAAGGGTTTAAGTCTGTTGAGAGAGGATGCAGGACAGAGTAAGGTTATTTTTGGGGCATTTGTTTGCTAACCAAGCAGTGAAGCATTCATGATACAACCTGGAGTGGGTTTTAGGCTCATTTAAACATAATTTAAACATATTTAGTTTTGCTGCTAAACTAGATTTAGTTAGACTGTTTAGTTATTTGTTTTATTACGATTTGCCATTTGTTTTTGTTTTCTTTTGTTCATGAATCTATTAGTTTTTTTTTTATCAATCTGTTGTTCAGTTGTTGGCTTTTAAGCTCACTCAGTTATCTTTTGCTCTTCTTTCTCTTTCCTTCTTATAGTTTATTGAGGTGCCTCTCCATGTTCTCGTCAGCTTTTGTCCTCAGCTGCCGTCACTCACCAATCATCCTCTCTGGATTTAAGCTTTGCATTTTTTTTTTCAGCCCTCGTTAGGTCCTTGCTGTTATGCCGCTTGTTTTTAGTCTAGTTAGGCCTAGTTTGGTCCAGTTTGGTCAAGTTTGGTCTGGTCTTTTAGTTTTTTCTGCTGGTCTACATTCATCAACTCTCCACCCTCAAACCATAACCAGTAAAAGGCTTTAGTGGGATGCTTCTGTCTTCTCCCTGTTTCTTCTAAATTATCTCCCAAAGATTGGGATTTTGTCTGGACCTCCATTGCATCCTCTGCCTGAGTATTTTCGTCATGCAGAGCAGTACCCCTCAGGCACACTGCTGGTGCTCAGTCCTCTTACAAATCTTTAGCAGAATGCGTAGTTCTCATTAAATCCGTCCTGACACGTCAGGGTTCATCAGGACTGTCTGTGTAGGCCGTCATGCTTCAGCACGGCAGCACATGGAGGCTAATGCGTTTCTGGTGACTCCAGTTTTGCTCTAGTCTGCTGTTTTTAATGCATGCTTTGTCTTTACCAGAAATATTTGCAACCGTCTGCATGCTTTGGATTGTCAGACATGCCTGAACAGCTCAGCTCTTCTAGAGTGATGCCCCTTATAGATTTTAGTGTCAAATCAGCTCAATTTCATTCTTCATTGTATCTCAGTTAGAGAAGCTGCATCGTGACTTTAAGGAAATCATCACCCCAGTATCCAAGCAAGAATCACTCCTAAATGTAAATTTTTTGTCTTTAAACACACACACCCATGTTTTTAAGCATACTCTTTCTGTCAATTTATGAGTAACTGTCTTCTTTTTAATCTTATACAACGGAGGTTATCAATGCACTTTTTGTATATTAACAATTAAGTTTCACTTTATTTCTTTTTATGTAGTTTAGAGCTGAAAAATGTGCCCATCAATTACAGGAAAGTTGTTTTCAGTTATATTCAGTTAACAGAATAATGATGAAATAAAAAACATGAAAATCAGATGGAATCGGAGTTTCTTCCCTTCTTTGATTAAAGAATTGTTCGTGATGAACATCAGATAAATTAATGCTGAAAATCAGACTGAATCCAAAAATACATACATCCTTGACTACAAGTAAGTTTGGCCTGTAGTTTTTCTCATGAAAATTGACTTCCTGTGATTGATTTTGACCACACATCTTTTCTATTTACACACAAAGTTTCTGTGTTTGGAAATCTCTCAGACTATAAATTCAGATAAATTCTTTGGGGGAGGAAACAACAATGATCTCACGCAGCCCTCCTGAAGAGGTTAGCCTCACCAAGCCTCCTAATGTTGCATTTATAATTATTTTCTGTCCAGAAAATTCTCGGTGAAGGTAAGAGTTTTACATGTCTATTTATTCTTTCAGCAAGACGACAAGGCAGCACAGTGTGGTACAAACATTAACTATTAATACCTTCAATGTGTCAAGCAGTGGAAAAATACTGGTACCAGCGTGTGGAAAGTAAGATTTGGGTTATTTTGTCGAGACGGGCAAGATGATCCTGTTACACAGAGGGAAAATACTATGCCTGCTAAAGACTTTTTTCTAACATTTTTAATATGCATACACATAAATACATACATGTCTGCATCTTTGATTCTTTGGATTTTCTAATCAAGTTTTTTGTCAGGGAAAACATGTTGTTAATAATTTTCTGAGCTGGTTTGGATGCTGTGCTGCTGGAAGTACTTCTGCTGGTAACCCTGGCAACTGTTAAAACATCTGCTATGATGAGTAACCATGGCAACGGCGATGTCGTCAACCCGTCAGAGTCGCTAAGTGAAAAGAGAAGTTTGCTGGAAAAGCTCTGATGGCTCGGAGAGTCTCTGCCGTAAGAGTTTCTGACAGAGCCTGCAGACAGATCGGGAGTGAGAGAGGAGAATCAAAGATCTGGTTCACTTTTCACTGAGGAAGAAAACATCTGCGGCCCAGATGTTGATCTGCTAGCTGTGAGTTCCTGTCTGGTTTGATAATGAGAGCGTTCACCTGAGTTACCTGATGATGCTGTGTGTGACATCATCAGCCACAAACCCCCCATCAATGCTTTGTTTTGTTATCTGTCTATAAGAAAAGAATAACACTAATAGTCATCAAGAGTTCATCATCCCAGTCCACTACAGAACAAGTAAAATATTCTCTTCACAATATTCATAAACATATTTTGATTGGGGGTTGAAAAAGCGAGAACTGTCCATACCCTTTAACAGCTATCACAGAGATGAGTGAATGACCAAGCATTGTTATCTCCTTTAACACGTCACTGGCACTGTCTCAAAGTGATCCCACACCACAGCCGGGGGGCAAAGTCCCCCCCCTTCCCTATATCCAACCAGCTTTTGCCGGTGACATTGCTTTGTGGCTTCAGAAAGAGAGGATATGAGTCTGGTTCCTATAGGCACCAGCTGCATCCTCTGAAACAGAGTTGTATCATGAATGTTTTGTTTTCAGGATGAATCATTTGATCATGGCTGTGTCTCCCAGCTATTTTCTGTTGACCCGGGGGTATCTCCACTCAGGATCCACAGTAGAAATGATAATGAACCCCACTTGGGACTGATCAGTCAGTTCATTCCTGTATTTTCAGCTATTATAACATACTTATACCTTTTCATTTTTTTGGGGGGGCAGGGGTGTAAAAAAACAACAAGGCACAAACACGTGGCTTAATAATCAGGGGTGCTTTCATGTTTAGAAGATTTCAAAGGTGTTTGTGTAGAAATGGCCCCTGTGCTGAATCCTGGATGACACTTGTCTTAATATTTGTGTCTAACCAGTAGACCCCCTTTTCTCTTCAAGAAAACATTTTTATTTGTAATTTCCCAATTTGAACTTGTACAATAAAGTGTAACGTAGAGATAAACAAAAACATGCGCGGGTCGTAAAGGGTTGAGGTCGCCTTGGTAACTGAGCGTTGGTCGCCATGACGCTGCAGAACCGTTGGAGGTTATCTTCTCTGCCATTATCGCCCCCCCAAACAGAGCCCGCCTGCCTCCAACAACCAACCCAGCTGCATCCGCCCACTAGACCACTTGTGTCTACCCCCGCCCTCACCCCCACCCGCTAAGCCCGGGGAAGGGACTGGCCACGTCTCAAAGTCAACTTTTAACGGAGGTGGGCCGTGAAAGAGGAGTCATTGGGGCCGCCAGAGTCCGGGGACCGCGGGGAGGAGAGGCGAGCTCCGCGGTGTGTTTAAGGACACAGGACGCCGCGCACCGGCTGCTCAGGAAAGCAGCACGAACGCCCCAAAAAATTAAGTAAATAAGGTAATTCAAACTCTTTTTAAATTAATTAATGTAGTTTCTTCAACAAAAGACGGAAAAAAAAGAACACAAAGTAAAATTGTTAGTCAAAGCTGTCTTAACCAAACATTTTAATTTAGAAAATGTCCGTTAAATTTGGTGATTCGCACACGGACTATTTAATGCGAGTACACACTTAAAAACTTATTTCACATGGATAGATTCTTCTTTAAAAATCAAGATAACGCGCTAAAACGAGCGTATACCTAACTTACACTTTTGTTTAGTAAATTATGACCCTACATTTAGGCGAAGACGGAGTAATAACCCATCTAAGTGAGTGGAGCGTTCACGGGTTTTACTTTTGAGTCAGGTCCTTGCTGTTTTGGGACCTGCTTACAAAGTTAAAACACAGTTGATCAGTTTCCGATTATTGTTTTCAACACATTGAATTTTTGATGGATTGGAGCCTGAAGAAAGAGAGTATAGAGTTGAAGGTAAACATAAAGATCGTATTTTCTGTCCTTCATAGCTTATGAGATTAGTTGTTTATGACTTTCAGTTGCATATTTATACCTCTAAATCTTTTCTAAAATGTATTTTCAAGCTTTTTTCAAAGTGGAAGTTAAATGCAATGAGCATTAATAACAGCTTTTAATAGTTTCAGCCTACCCTTTTCCTTATAAAATCTCGCTTTGCAGGGAAAAGTATGATAATAATTTATGCTGAAATGATATTTCATTGGTAAGGAAAAAAGCTGTCTATTGGTAAAAACTCAGAGGTGTGTCGGTGTGAGGGGGTGGGAGGGAGTACAGACTTCTTTTGAGAGGAGAAGCAGAGGCATGTTCAACGGGATTCAATTGCCTGATTATCATGTGCACATTTTTCATGCAAATGTTTTATTTAGTTTGTATTTTTAATTGAAACATCACACGTAGTCTCTCACAACCCAGAATGAGGTCACTCCAAATGAGAATGCAGCTATTTATTCTTTACACTCACAATCACTGAACCTGTTTATCTGGCATTTCCTCTTATATTTCCTGTTCCTATTCCTGCGAAAATAGTAGTCGCATAAGTGTTAGTGTTGTGACTAAGCAGTTCAGATCATTTTAAAAAAGCCACGTGACCACAAATAAGAACTCGATGAGACCAAAAATTCCTCTTTGTGGGTTTAAAGTTTGAAAATACGATACCAAGAAAAACAAGTCATGTTGTAAATACTGGGAAATGCTCCACAAGATTATTGTCTTTGAGATCCATCCATTTTCTATAGTGCTTATTCCCAACGGGATCGCGGGGGGGCCGGAGTCTATCCCAGCTGACAAAGGCGAGAGGTGGGGTACAGCCTGGACGGGTCACCAGTCCATCACAGGGCCACACAGAGACACACAACCACACACACTCACAGTGACTTTTAGGGGCAGTTTGGAGGGTCCAATTAACCTGAAATGCATGTGTTTGGATGGTGACCCCGCAACCCTGTCGGGAATAAGCAGTAAAGAAAATTGATGGATGGTGTTGCACATCTTGCAGTTAAAGGTTTGTAGCTTAATGGCAC